GTGGTGGGCATTAGTGGTCAGTAGTGGTCAGTGGTAAGGTGGGTGGTGGTGCAGGTGGGCAGCTACGAGCACATGAACGTGGTGTCGCGGCGCGGGGAGTCCCCGCCGCCCGCCGCCTCGCCCTCCAGGCCTCATCACCACAAGTATCATACGGTCAGTTCTAACATGTCCCACATCACATCACCTCACATCTCTACACTTACCAATATTCACAACATTATACAAAATTTAGTTTGTCTCTTTATTCAATTGGTTATATTTCATTTAGTATGAAAAACCATTTCATTTTGCGTACAAAACAATTACTATAAATATTTTATTTAAACTGGTCACGGAAATGTAAAAGTGAAAATGTCGGTAGGCGCCGGCATCCATGTCTCCGGCGCATCATTACCGCGCGCCGCCCTCCTCCGAGAGCCTCCCCTCCAGCCAGGTCGGTGGCCATCCTCCCCCCCAGACCCCACCACGGCTTGTGTTTGTGCCACCCCAACTCAGTTGACACGCAAGCTTGCTCGCAATATCCATAGACAATTGTTAACAACGACAGTTGACTCCGCCTTGTCTTGGCAATCCATTATATTTTGATAGAGCATGTTTTATTAAGCGAATGCTTCCCTCCAATAAAATTCCCGCAAACGTTTGCGTGGCTTCATGTGTGCAATACAACACTTGCTTTTTTATTTTTTTGTCTTGGCTCTATGGTTAGTTTTGATTTTTTTTGTGTTTTTTATATTTAAATATATAAAAGTATTGCAGTATTTAATTGATAAATAGGAGTACATTATTGAGTTGTAACTAATGTAATATATAAATAATTATGGTCTCGGATGTTTGACCTTGAGTTAACACATACCTACGGGATTAGCTTAAAACATATTTCTTGCCGCACTGCTTTTATAAAAAGTAGTTAAGCCTCGCTTATATATGTACTCTGGTATGGGAATAAATACAATTTAGATATTTTTAATTATAACCTGTAACCTAAACACCCATTTAACCTTTTCTTAATTAATTAAAACCAATGCATCTTTACTTCTGTATTTCTTATTAAAACACTTTTAACACCATAACTAACTTAATCTTTTACTAATTAAAAGCACTTTATTTTTCTATATGATTTGTGGGGTTTTATAAAAGTGTTATGTTTTTGTGAGTAATGTGATGTAATGAATGGTATACTGTTGCGCAGTTACAGCTGTGCGAGGAGGGCGGGGTGGGGGGTGTGGGCGGGGCGAGCGGGGCGGGCAGTGGGGCGGAGGGCGGGGCGTCTCCGCTGACTGCGCGCTCTCTGCGTCTGGAGCGAGCTGCACGCGCGCTGCACGCCGAGCGCGACCGTCTGCGCACGCACTACCCCGCACCCTACGACTCGTGAGTATCACTTTTGTATTTTAAGTGGTCCATTGTAAGTAATGGTCCTTCGAGTCGGATATTTTATCATTTAAATTAATACAATCCTAGATATGATTTGTGACTTTCAATTTCATATGTAAATTCTTTTGCCGAATTATTTATATCTCCAAGACCTTGTTTTGCTTCGTATATTTATCAAAAGGTGTCAAAATGTAGTCAACATTTGGCTACAAATATCCATGTAGACTGAATGGAATCTAGAAAATGGATAAACATAGTTATTTTAAGTTCATTATAATGTTTTACTATACATTATGTAATTTTTCTCTTCCACGCGGCTCAGGACGTCGATAATGTCGGGAAGCCTCGCTCGGATCCCGATACACAGGTGTTCATCAAACCCTAGCTTAAGACCTAGCCTTAAGCTGAGACCTAACATGTGGTGCGACTGTGCTGACACACAGTTCAATTATGTTCCGCATAAATTGTGTATGAAATCGAAACTGTACCAAATTGTTGTACCATATCTGTTCCATCATCCACTGTCGTGGAAAACTGCTAGTTATTTTTGAAATAATATAATTTAAACATCGATAAAGAGTTTGAACAAAGGATTTTAACTATAGTTTTTTTTTATTGTTCGAACAAGAATTTTTAGTATTAGCAAACCCCAAATAAGAATGATTGTTTGTCTCGTGTAATATATTTTAATATAATTTGGTTGAAATAAAGGAAATGGAATTACTATGAATAATATTTGATTTATATTTCAACAAACCTTCACCAATAAATTATTGGGACATGGTATGTGAATTTTTCTAGTTTCTGTGTGGTCTCACCGCGCGTATCCACCACTGAAATACTTGTATAGAAACATGTGTTTCGATAGTGGGGACTCTCTTTTATAGTCATCATCTTCAATGCTAGTGTATTTCATAGTAATTCCATTTTTATACAACTTTTGCTAATACTATTAGTTTTTCCATTTTAATGTTTCAAATACATTACATTTCTCTCTTTACGTTACTAAAAAGTTTTGCTAAATTCATAGGGATTTCTATTCAATAGACGTTTATTTCTTCTTTTTAATTTCTAGAACTTTTCGTTCTTTGTCATATAGTGATTCTATCATCAAACAGTGTGATAGTTATAAAAAAATACAATATTTTCTGTTTGAAACATATGTTTAAATGTCTGACAGCTCGAGCCAGGAGTCGCTGTCGCTGGGCGGAGGGGGGTGGGGCGGGTCTAGTGCTGGGGGCGGGGCGTCCCCCTCCCTGCCCCGCGCCGCAGCCTCCGCCGCCTCAATCGCCTCCATGCACCAGCAGAAGAAGAGGGGCATCAAGAGCTCGCTCGGCAGGTTCTTCAGCAAGAAGGACAAGGCCGGACTTACGGTACACATTTTGAAAACCATATAAAATTGTAGCTTTTGATAGTTATCAACTTTAAACTATGCTTGAGTTTGTTCATAGTACAGTGGAAGTCGTAATTTTCAAAGACCATTTTTTTTTTCAAGGTCAACAATTTAAAAATGAATATAAACTCTATAAATGTGAATTATTGTTAATTTTCAATGTGTCCAGCTATCGCAAGGCACCAGCCCTCGTTCCCTGTCCTCCGCGTCATCGCTGGGTCTGTCGGGTCTGGCGGACGAGGGTCTGGAGCCGACGCCGCTCGGGCCGCACCACCAGCAGCTCGCCGCGCACCACCCACACCATCCCCAGCATCCACAGCATCCGCAGCCGCTGCAGCAGGACTACGCGCGCTCCAAGACAAAGTTAGTGATGCCATGTTGTTAGAAATGTTACTTCTCATATTTATTCGAAGGACCATTTTATTGGAACAAAGTGGAATATTATTAATATGTTTTAATGTTATCACCTAGAAATAAAAAAAACATATTTTGAATAACAAAGTGAGTTGTAGAACGGACACGTGCCTTATACGTGTAGGTGTCTGCAGGGAGGTGAAGATCGCAGGCGTACAGTACGTGCTTTGAAACAGGCCAACAGCGACACGTGTCCGAGTGTCTGTGAGCACGTGCCTGATGTCAATGTGTGTGTGTGTGTGTGTGTGTGCAGGGAGCGCGACTACCGGCACGAGCTGCTGGGCGAGGCGATGCGCGCGGGCACGCCGTTCGCGCTGTGGAACGGGCCGACAGTGGTGGCGTGGCTGGAGCTGTGGGTGGGCATGCCGGCCTGGTACGTGGCCGCCTGCCGCGCCAACGTCAAGTCCGGCGCCATCATGTCCGCGCTCTCCGACCAGGAGATACAGCGAGAGATCGGTACGTCGCACGCATGCAGTTACACATGTGCTGCCTTTCTGCATTCAGCAAAAAAATAATGTTTCCCATTCCTGTACATCCCCTCCTTCACCCTTTCCTTATTACAAAATAGTGTCTTCGGAAAAGAACGCTTAAATACTTCTATTCCATGTCTATCTTCCCTGTTGCACGGATCGCGATAGCCATTGGTGCAAATATACAATATACTTACATTCCTCTGTCTCGTGTTAGGTATCAGCAACCCCCTGCACCGGCTGAAGCTGCGGCTGGCCATCCAGGAGATGGTGTCGCTGACGTCACCCTCTGCGCCGCGCGGCACCGCATGCGCAGCTCTCGCCTTCGGGGACATGAACCACGAGTGGATCGGCAACGTGTGGCTACCCTCGCTAGGTACGTAACTACGTACCTATGTATCCGGCTCGCAGGACCAAATAGAACTATACCAAGCGTCTTTATTGCTTGTTTCATATGTTATTGAATAAGAGATCAGTTAGTAAGTTTCTTTAGCCTTACTTTTAGACTTTGGATATGTCCTGTATGATATAATTATGTAAGTATCTGTGTATACAGGTCTGCCGCAGTACCGCACCACCTTCATGGAGTGTCTGGTGGACGCGCGCATGCTGGAGCACCTCACCAAGCGCGACCTGCGCACACAGCTCAAGATGGTCGACAGCTTCCACAGGTGACGTGCCGTACCGTGTCCTAGTGTCTAGTGTCTTGTGTCTCGTGTCGTGTGTGACGTGTAGTGTCTGTCGCAGGACGTCGCTGCACTTCGGCGTGGCGTGTCTGAAGCGCGTGGGGTACTCTGTGCGCGCGCTGGAGGAGCGGCGACGCGCAGCAGAGCACTGCGTGCGCGATGTCATGGTGTGGACCAACGAGCGGCTGCAGCGCTGGCTGCTAACTATTAACCTCAAGGTGCGACCCCCTAGCTTGTATACTACATGTAATGCGATCCCCTATGTTGTATATGAAGATTAACTGTGTTATTATTGTCGTGTGTCAGGAGTTCGCGAGCAACCTGTCTGAGAGCGGCGTGCACGGTGCGCTGATCGCACTAGACGACAGCTTCGATGCCAACAGCATGGCGCTCGCGCTACAGATACCCACACAGAACACTCAGGTACACCAACACATAAACGCACATTCAAACAAGAATTGGTGCTTTGTAGAGTCAAATAATGGACTAATGGCGTTTGCTAATGTAAAAAAATAATTTAATAATGAAAGCAAAATAACTATTTTTGTAATATTGTATGCGCAGGCTCGGCAGGTGCTGGAGATGGAGTTTGCAGCGCTGCTGGCGGCGGGCACGGAGCGCGCGGCGCGCCCTCACCCGCACGCCCCCGCCTCCTGACACCACGCCATAGACTAGCCGCACTCGCGACACTAGCGACACCCGCGACACTAGCGACACCCGCGACACTAGCGATACTCGCGACACTAGCGACACAAACAACTGGCGCGACACTAGCGACATCCATAAGTGCGTGTTATATGACATGTTACTTGAAGTCCATCGATTGGTTAACTTGAGTGTTCACGCAGAACTGTGTCAGCGTGTTGGACAGTACCGGCCGCGATCAGAAACACTCCAACTGGATTTTATGTTGTATCAAGAATTTTTGACAGATTCATTTTTTACTATAATAAAATTTCTCTACGATTTTTCATGATAAATTGTACTGAAATATCTCAAAATTTAATAATATTTGATTTATGAAAATATAGTATGGTCTATGTTACTGCATACAGCAACACAGTCTGTCGGAGGAGTGTTGCCATGTTGGTGATTATTTTGATAAAGCGTTGTTGATACATACGATAAGATTTCAATAAATGTGTATATTTAACTGCAGTTTAGACTTACGCTTATGTAACAGTTATAAAAGTGCTCGAAATGAAGTAGTTTATGTACTTAAACATGTAATCTTATATTTATTGTTATTCAAAGCTAATAACTTCTATGTAAATGCACTCGATAAAAACTCTGAAAATATTTTATTTTTAAATATTACCTACAAATAGTAAATAAAAAAATTGACTAAATATTCGGTCACAGGCGACTAAAATATGTCTGAAAATTAACCGAACTCGGATGAACTTAATAGAGGTTTCTCTCTAACCCGAGTTTCTAGCTTATGAAGGTTGTCCGTGGGGACAATGACTCGCTTCGCTTATCCAAGTTCTGTGTTGAATTGTCATTTTTTTACTAGCTGTCGCCCGTGACTGTCCGCGCGGAATTAAAAAAAAACTATTGGTCACAGCGTAATGTTATATAACATAAAGCCTTCAAACAAAAAAAGGAATTTTTCAAATAAGACCAGTAGTTCCTGAGATTAGCTTGTACAAACAAACAAACTCTTCCGTTTTATATATTAGTATAGATTAATTTATATTCATTTTTTTTATTTCACCCTTAACTTAGGGTAGGCTCCGAGCCCCTCGGTGGGGACGTATAGTGAGCTGATGATGATGATGATGAATTTATATTCTAGTATATTTTTTGTCAGATATTTGTTATATATTAACATGATAGCAATTAATTTAAAATAAATTAATATTTAGTGTATTTATCGAGTGCGTTTGCTTTACTATACTTTTTACAGAAGTACATTTTTCAAAGGTCGTATTTAAATAAGATTTATGTAAAGTTAAATATGCTGGTTAATTATTATATAAGATTTGATACACTTGATCGTGGCTAGGATTTTGTAAACGAGACGACGTTTGAAAAATGAACGATCTTGATACTTGATGCCAAATATTAGTTACAAAATGGACTCGTGAAATATCACAGCGGAATACTTGAAAATTTATTAAACTGTGACAAAATTGATTCTGCACGTTTCTTGTCATTTCTTTTATATATTTGTATTAATTTTACAATTGCTGTGGTATTTTATGGTTCTTAGTATAACTAATATTTTCTAAAACTATTTACAATTTTAAAGAAATATATAATCTTTGAAATTGTTCAATGTTTTATATACTATGTACTCAATAACTTTAGTGTCTTTTAAACATCACATATATATTTAATATGTGAAATTGTCAAGTTAATGTCTTTATCACATTAACTGCCACATACAGAGTCTCTAACAGTCACTAAGGGCGCTTCTTAGTATACATTTCTAATAAAATCACGCTAAGTGTTCCCTTAGTGAGTATTAAGCGACTGAGTGGCAGCCGTACAGTATAAGGCTTACAGTAACATATAACAATAACGTGCTATAATTGAGGTTATAACTAGTCTGGTGTATACCAGTCTAGACTAGATTGTACCGGGCCGGCGGCGTGTGGAGCCGGGTGCCCGGGCCTGTATATACTAGCTTTATGTAGATAAAAGTGTGCCTCTCCGTTTGTCTGTCTGTCTCGCGTTAACATGTGCCCGATTGTATTTATATGTGAGTGATGAATGTGTTCCCCGCTATAAATGGGGGAGGGAATCTGCTTCAGAATCGATTAGTCGCAGTGACATGTGTCAGATTGACACTGACAGGTGTCAGATTGACACTGACATGTGTCAGTGTGACGTGCGCTCGGTGTGTTGTCTGCGGTGCGGTGTGGCCGCACATATCTATCTCCGGTTAGGAAGAAGCAGACGGACGCACACAAAAACTAGTCTCGTGTACAGTGTTACGACGTCGTTTTATAATGTAACTATTTTATTGAATACATTTGTAATAGCAAGCAATCGAAACGTAGCTAGGGTATATTTTTGTTAAGCGTTTTACAATACGCTCGTCGTGATCTGTTCAGCTCATTATTCATAGATAAAGTTAACAAGAAATATAATAATATTAACTATGTAATTTGAATAGCGATATTATACACATATGAATTTGTTTACTTATACTAAAAAATAACTAATTGCAAATCATGTCTAAAAAGATGAAAATTAACCAACAGCCATGAATTTAAAGTATTTTTTAAATAGTTTATTTGATTTAATATTATTTTATTTTGTTTGTGTGTTATTTATTTGAAATTTTGATGTTTTTATTTTGACATTATTAGAATGTATTTAAAGGCAATGTGAACAAGATGTCGCGACGAGCACAATAGTTAACTAAATAAAATATATATAATTGTATAGCTAACTGGTTATAATTTGGTGGATGTATGTATGATTAGCGAATATATTTGTAAATATACAAGAAACAGTTTGTATGTAGCGTTTCTATCTGAGTAGGTGCGAGTAGGTAGGACATGTACTACATCTAGACATAATGTTGATAAACGCTTCCTTCTATTTATTGAATAGTTTAACTTTATTTATTAAGTTATTATCACTTAACGCCATTGTATCGCCGCTAAACTTAATTACCTCGAAAGCCTTCAGTTAAGTGTGTGCCGGATATTTGCTCCGATTTGTACCTTTTTTTGTGAAATAGCGTGAAGGTGTATCGCGTTGTGCTGAAGTATTGAGGGGCTGTGAGATATAGCGCATAGACTATGTAACAGTATTAAAAATTGTAAGTGAGCGCGGCCTCGGATTTCTTTTTTGTAGGTGTGGAAACATCGCAAAATGCACGAGAAAAAAATTCAACGACAATCTAGTCAAAATATATTTTAGAACAATTTAAATCGGTTCACATCATTTGTTATACGCAGATTTAGGAACGTTTCGTTCTTTATTTGTATGCTTCATTTATTTGATTGTTGGTTTGTGTATGCGAGAGTTAGTCCGAGGCCGCCGCGAATGTATCATCTCAGCCCCCTCTCTATTAGGATCCAGTATAACACAGAACAGATCAGATATTTATAACCCATCAGTTACATTCCTATTTACGAGTCAAAGTAAATATTTATCCGGCTCGAAGGACTTGCACAAAAATTCCGTGGGGCTTGAATTAAGCTGATTGTCCAGAACAGTTTCTCAATGTTTAATATTTTGATGGGTAACCTAAATAAACTTTTCCTAACCATGCATACGTGTGTCCCGATGCAACGCTCGCGACACACTGACCTCCACAAGTGCCAAGGCGCGTCCAGTGCGCGGGACTCGATGTCGCATAACCCCCCACCACCACCCCCCCCCGCAACCCCCCGCGGCACCGCCACGTCCCGCACGCGGCTCGCGCTACCAAAGACTTAAGTTACCTTCACGTTAAGAAAGTTAAATGTAAAATAGTTGATTAGTGAATTCCCGTATGTGTTGTACATAGAATGCGGTGCGCTAACATTCCAGCTTTCCGTGCAACTTGACTTGTAACCGCGTCCAGTCACCGTGACAGTACATGCGCCGCTATTATCTTTGTTGTTTGTAAATGACATTTGTGCGAATGCGATGACATGTTGTATGCATCATTGAGGTAAATACAATTTACACGATACTATTATTTGTTTTATTTTTGTACACACTTTCAGAGCATCGAAGCACACGAGCTACGAGACTGCAGCTTGTAAAGACCACGAATTTTTATGGAAAAAATAATTTAAAATCAAAGCTATAATATGATCAGTGGAATATCTGTTTTTACAGGTATTATTTAATAAAAGAAGAAAAATCTATAAATTTCAATTTTAATATTGCTAACATTATAAATTTAAAAGTTTGGATGTATGGATTGTTTTTTGATAAAAAGTATCTACAGGACGGCTGCATGGATCTCTTTGAAATTTGACATAGCCTGAAAGAACATTTTTATTTTAGTTTCGCGCGGACGTAGTCACGGGCGACAGCTAGTAATTTATAAATGTAACTAATTTTTATTACAGTTTCGGTACTAATTTGCGGGCAATTTAAACTTTACATTAGGATGTCCCTTAACGCCCAATCCTGTGACCATGAAGATAGCACCACACGGCGGCTTCTGTTCTTCCCCTATATTCAAACTAGCCGTTGTTACAAACAGGGTATCCAAGTTTCGTCCTCCGAAAGTCACAGAAGTGATCTGCTTAGCTGGTATATCTACTTTATCTAATATGATGCCTCTCCTCGGGTCAACTTTGAGTACACACGATCCATAGAATATGGCAACCCATAGATTGCCCTCAGTGTCTATGGTCATACCATCCGGACCACCGTTGACTTCGTTCTTCTTGAAATCATATACGTAGCTTTTATTCGCTGCAAAATGGATAAAAACATGTTTTATTTTACTTCCTTACATAAAATTTTATTGAGAATTGATCATCGGAATTGTTAGTTATTGTGTTTATTGTTATTCGATATTTTAATCAATAAACTACACGAGGCCTGCGACTTTGGTCGCATTTGAACAAATCTCAAGTCAACTTAAATTGGACATTAAAGTATCAAGAAATATGTCATATTTGTTTACTTACAAATATCTCCAGTTTCCACATCGTAATCGTATCGTCTAATCTTATAATCAATTGAATCTATATAGTAGAAAGCTTTCTCCTTCATGTCCCAGGCCAGGCCGTTAGATACGTTGATCTTGTCACATATCTTCACACATCCTCTATCGTCTAAGCGATACAACGAGCCTTTCTCTTTTTCAAATTCACCTGTAGGTGCCATTTGACCCATGGTACCTAAAATATAACGATAGATTAGGCTATGGCTTGTTTACTAAAATAACAAATGGCTAAAAATATTAAATGTTTAAAATAAATCTTTATTTTTTAAAACATTAAACGAGCTTATTTAACATGAATAACGAATGTTCCTGGCAAGGAGACACACTATCATATTGAAAAACTGCATGCTACTGGTTTCAGCGTTGTCGTCACAATACTTACGAAACGTTCAAACAACTGTCAATTTTAAAGTGGAACACCGCCAGATTCCTTGGTGGTACCTACTAACCTGCGAATAATCTTCCCTTTGGATCAACTTTGCCATCATTTAGTCTATTTGCCGGTGTTTCTATGTCTACTTCAGCCAACTCCTTGATAATTTCCACCTCACTGCCATCACCGCCGTCCCATTTGATTATCACAAAGTGACGCTCTAAACCAACCACGAAATGATCCGATGCTCCTTCCACTGATATTATAAAACTCACACGACCATCTGAAAAATATTGGAGGAATTTTAATAAATTAGAAAACTATACAATCCAACTTTTAAAAAAATACTTTGAAAACTGGCAGGTTTACGACGCTTCGAAATAAATACTTGAAACTCTTAACAATTTAAAAAAGATAAATCACATGTAGCAGAATTCGAATGCCCAAAAACAATTTCTATGACCATCGAGTGAATGCCATCTATTGAGTGAAACTTAAAACATCAATACACTTGGATCCACAGTACCTCCTAAAAATTAATTTATATTTATCAAGAAATAAAAAAATTAAACATACGTAAAGTAGTTTTGGTATGAAGTCCGGTTTCTGGCACATATTTGTGTATGGTCTTCTCATCAATGCTGACGAAGTAGAGCGCTTGCGTCTGCTCGTCCCAGTGCGGACCTTCCCCGATCAACACTGGTTCAGTCACCTTCTGTACTGATACTGACATCTGGCGGTAAAACAATACAATTAACTCAATATTTTTAATTAAATTTTATAACACAATTTGCTTCTCACGTTGATTCTAAATTTAAAACATAAATATCTTACTAAAAAGCATTAACATTGACAATACGTACAGGACATGTATTAGATTAAAAAACTTAATCGTTTATTCAAGACCTTTTTAATACATTTTGAATACACACCTTATGAATTGTCACAAAGTATTGACTTTATGCCTTTTCAAGACTTTATCAAATATTTTTATTAAAACACTTTATGTTTCAAGCCACTTCTTTCGCATAACATTTGTTATGAAATCGATACGCGTGTTATAAATATAAAAACGCCGGTACAAATGATATTGAATTGTCGAACAATAACAGCTGACAGCTGTTATAAAAGTGGGGGGAGTGTCCTCACTACGCGACTCGAATTCGCAATCATCAATGTTTTAAATAACAAAATGCAAAATCCTACGCTATATTTTAGCTTTAGTTAATCACATATTTTTAAATAATATTTATTTTAAGCAAGAATCTCCGAGTTCAATATTTTTGTTCTGAAAATGTTACTTTACAGCGACTTTTCACAGATGGCGCTTATCAACGCGTGCACTTATTTAAAACGCAAAGTATTCACATGTTGAATATTTTAATGTTGAAATATAATTTTTCAACATTAAAATACTTCGCTCGATTTACTATTTTTATTATTAAAACCATCATACAAACCATCTTACATTACGTAATAATGTCTTATTTATCAACGAAAAAACAGAGATAATAGCGTGACTTGCTCATGGATAATGACCACACCTGATTTATTGTTAACGTTTATATAAAAGTCTTGACTTGTAACAGTGACTAGGTTATTATAATCTTTAAAATTGTTACTTATTATAATCATTGTTTCCTTGTCATCTTACTTCTTACTAACATTATAAATGCGAATGTTTAAAAGGATGGATGGATGTTTGTTTGAAGATATCTGTAAAACCGCTGTATGTATCTCGCTAAATTTGGCATAGATGTAGAACATATTCTGAAAGAACACATATGCATCTAATTAAGTTTTTTTTTAATTCCGCGCGGATGGAGTCGCGGGCGACAGCTATACATAATAAAAACGCTTTGTCAGTTTTAAAATAGACTTTTTACATTATTTAACAAAAACTTTACGATAATATTAACGTTATCAATTATCATATAAATACTTAGTAAATAACAGTACTATAAGATTCTTTGTTTTTTAAATTTTCATTGTCTTGCCATAATTAGCTGACCGTGAGTTTCTAAGATAAAAATTTCTGTTTAAAATATATTGTTGTCTCTGTTTTCTCAACAGAAATGACTATATGTTTTGTATAGCTTCAGAAACCAACGGTCTTTATGTATATTTGTGACTGTATGAGAGGATTGTTTATCAAATAAGAAAACAATATATTTTAATTATCAACATTTATTACATACGCCATACAAACTATAATTTAAGCAATTACACTTTCAAACTCGTTTAAAATTAAAATAACAAATTCTATTTCACTTTTACGGCAATTTAAATTTGACATTAGGATGTCCTTTTGCGCCTAAACCTGTCACCATAAAGGTGGCGCCACACGGCGGTTCTTGTTCTGAGCCTAGATTAAATCTAGCTGTTGTAACAAATAAGATGTCTAAGTTCGGTCCTCCGAAGGTAACTGAAGTGACCTGTTCAGCGGGAATAGCCACTTTGTCAACCACTGTGCCAATTTTTGGATCCACTTTGATGACTGCAGACCCATTGAATAAAGCAACCCATAGATATCCGTCAGTATCTATGGTCATACCATCAGGACCGCCAGTCATTTTGTTTTTCTTGAGGTCAAATATGTGTCTTTGATTAGCTGAAAGAATTTGTTTTTTTTTACTGTTTAAAATATCCTTTGAAACACAAGACAAATGTAATTCTTTTTTTTAATTTCTTCTTAATAAAATGTATGCAATTTTGTTTTTCTACACATTGGCAATTAATTCGTCATTGTCGTTTGTATTTGAATTAAAAAACGTAAGTAGTAACCTATCTGTCCTTCCAGATGCCATTCTATACGTATGCCAAATTTCATCGTAATCAGTTCATCTATCCTGGAGATACCCTCAAACAAACATCTATTCATCATTACTAATATACTAAGATTTGTTGCGATCCAGGCAGATTCTTTAACATTGACATTAGCACAAAATATCTAGACTTACAAATCTCTCCTGTTTCCACATCATAATCGTATCGCCTGATTTTATTCTCTACAGTGTTAATGTAATAAAAGGCCTTCTCCTGAAGGTCCCAGGCGAGGCCGTTAGAGATGGTGATCTTGTCACACAACTGAGTAACACCTCTCTCGTCGAGACGGTAGAAACCGCCCTTTTCTGGTATGAATTCAACACCAGGTCCCATGTCACACATTGTACCTACGTAAAGAAAAGTATTCAAAATTATTATTGTAACCGATTTATTGTGATTTTAGTTTATGTTTTAGTATGTGTCTTGTCCTTTTATCCTGCTGAAGTAAAAAAAAATCATGTCACTTGTCAAAGAGATTGTTAATGGCAAATCTAAAATCATATTTTTAGATAAGTATTTGTTTTAAACATATATAAAAACGGCTAAACACTCATGTATATTCGTCCGGTGGCGGCACCGACTAGTTTCGAGCCCATCGGCTGAGCTGGGGGCCGCCTCCGCGAAATTATACCAGTCCCACTCACCTTGATTAAGATCCCCCGATGGGCTCAAAACTAATCGGTGCCGCCGCCGGACGAATATACATGAGTGTTTAGCCGTTTTTATATATGTTTATTATAATGTCACGGGAAAGTTTGAATTATTTAAGTATTTGTGTTAATATAAAGATTGTTAATTACATAAGATTTATTGTACAAACCTGCAAATAATCTGCCCCTTGGATCAGCTTTGCCATCATTGAGGAAAGTGTTGGGAGAATCCTGATCAACTTCACCTAATTCTTTTATAATTTTCACATCACTGCCTTCTTCACCGTCCCAATTAATTATCAGGAAGTTATGTTCAACGCCGACAACGAACTGATCCGTCGCGCCCTCTACTGGTATTATAAAACCCACCCGGCCAGCTAAAAATAAACAATCATAGAAAAATACGTAATTTCTGGGACTAAAATTTCCATTCAAAACATATTGTTATCTATGTTTTGTCAAAGATAATGACAAGGATGACGACATGTTTTTAAACCAAAGAGAGAGAAGACCATAGAATTAAAAATGATATAATAATTATTTCTAACGTAAGAATAGGAAATGCAATTTAAAAGTTTTGTTCCAAAGAACTAAGGTGTTGTGTACTCAGATTAATTTAATGCATGTCAACTGGAATTTGTTAATTTTAACTAAGTGTTAAATCCAATAACTAATTTTTGTGCTTAGTCCCACAGTTAGTTTAAAGTAAAATATTGTACACACGTAATGTTGTTTTGGTATGAACTCCAGTTTCTAGCACATATTTGTGGATTGTTTGTTCGTTTGTGCCGACGAAGTATAGGGCTTGCGTCGTCTCGTCCCAATGCGGGCCCTCGCCGATCAGCAGGGGCTCCGTTATCTTCTGCACTGACACTGACATCTAGTGGTCAAAATAATAAACTATTACATAATAAGCTTATAAATATTGCAGTTTTTTACGCAAAATTAACAGTCGTATAATATTACTTATCCGTCGATTTTAATTTATTATTATTATATTATCAAAATTCAAAGTCACAAAACATACCCTAATTTTATCTTGGCAAGTCATTAAATAGGCATTTATCACGTCACGCTATTTTTGACAAAACGTTCGCACTTCAATCGACGCGCGTCTTCTAATAATGATAAAATCGTATGTCGATTGAGCAATATTTTGGATATCAACTGCGGTAAGTAGTGGGGGCGGGAGGAGGAGGACAATAATAGTTCACACACACAAACACCCATACATGTTAAGTACACTCACACACAACACTTTTTTTCATCATAGTAACTTGGTACGGCATGGCATTATGACCAATTTTCATTTTGTTATTTCGCGAAACACTTTAATTTTTTTCAATCACGCATTTATCGATTTCATTTCTTTCTTATTGGCATCATTACAATATCAATTTTTTATATTTATGGCTGAGAACTAAAGGTAAAATATTTTATTCTGTTATAATACGAAACAAAAGATAACTTCTTTAAAGAAATGTTTATACATACTTTAAAAAGTAAATTTGGAATTAATAAACCTTGTACTATGCATTTAAAAATAAGTAAATACTTTTTAAATCAATTAAAAAAATATTATTTTCAATCCAAAGGTTAGGTACTTACTGTGGACAGGAACGCGGCAAATCTGTGCCGAAATCAGCAGATCATTATTGTTTTTATGTTTTCATAATTTATTGTCGTGTCATCATTAACAAAATCAAATGATATCTATTGATAAATAATAAAACAAGGTTTAAGAAATTTAATTTTTAAGTACATTCACCATGATTATACCAATGGGCCATTGCCAGATTTTAAGATAAATTCTAGGATCCGTGCAAAGAGAGGGTCGAAGCTCGGCCACTTAAAGTGCATAGACGGCAGAGTCGTCACCCAAGGCGCCCAAGAGTAGTTGGTGGGACGTCTCAGGTATTACTGAATAAATCATCTGGTGAGAGATCCTAAAGAGATGCAAGTCCTGACGGCCGGGACGGTGCGGGATCGAAGAAAGTGGAGAAGTTTGTTGAGGGAGGCCATGCCCACTTCGGATCGCTACATCACCCTAGTTAAGCTATTAAAACCCATCACTACAAGGCGTGAACTATTATTACAAGTATCATTATCATATTATTTAAATGATATAGGTATATCCATTACTACATGTTGTGCAATAGTGATGACAATAATCAATTGAATGAAAGAAAAAAAATATTTAAGCTTATGATGACTGAGTCTATAATTATCTATACCTAATATTTGATATAAAAAAGGTTAATCATATTTCTTATCGTTAAATTGCACAGTCATAACCACCATTCAGTAGAGAACAAAACGACGAGTCATTCGTAGTACTTGGTTTTAAATACTTTAAAATTTACTCAATCATGCTGTTTTATTTTAAATCGTATACATAGATTTTAATTTGGCATTTAGCTATTAGACTCTTTATTGTAATAACACTGACTTGACCAAGACCGTTTTCATGAAAAAACGCCATTACATGTGTTATAATGATTTCAATGGGGAAAAACTGAAAGTGGTGCATTTTTCTAAGAAAAGTTGAAAAAGTATTCCTTTTTAAATGTGCCGGAATTATAAAAGAGCGCCGTTAACGGAAAATAAACCATGTAGACAATTTCTATCTTTGAAAAATTGCTATTTTTGTTTAATTTTATGGGTGATACTTGACAGTAGATGTTATGGCGACAATCTACATACAAAGCACATTTGATGATGCTGTTATTTATTGAACAAAATACTTTTTACCAACAAGTACCGATAATAAATTTATGAGGAATCTCTGACCATCTAACATATTTAGTTTAAAAGATTTATTGTGGGTTTCTTAGACCAAACCCTCTGTATAAAATTTATCGTCATCCCTGTCATCCATTATCTTTGACAAATAGAGACAATATGTTTTGAGCAGAGATTTTGATGTCAGAAACGCACGGTTAGTAGGAAGTGGATATAAGTGGGTTCAAATAAAACAAAAATTGTAAATCAGTTGACTTTTAATTACTGTAATTTGGACAAGAAAATACAATGAATGTGTCAAAACGCACGCAACGTTCAAACTAAATTACAAGCAAACAGTTACAAGTAAATATAACTTATACTTAATCACAACACAAATTATTGTAGTTGAGTGACGTCAGAACTTGTCTTACGGATACCGAACGAGTATTTCTTGAGAAAAAAACTCATTCGCTTGGCACAAAAATATTAATCTATTCCAAAGAAACGAAACAACGGCCCGACTCGCTCGCGGCCAACACGGAAAATAAAACAGAATTTGTATTCTTAAATAAAAAAACGTTAACACTATGTTACGTAAATATTTAACGACTAACATAAACTCCTAATCCCTAGAAATTTAAAACTAATACTGAAACACCGAACTACAATACACTACACATACATATATCTTTTTTTTGTATTTTTTTTTAATTTATTTTTATAACAACTCACTGTACAAACAATTAAACTTTTGTGTCTACACACATATAGACGTACATATACTTAATTATATTAAGGATAAAGAACCGTACAAAAAACTTGGGCGGATTTATATATAGACAAGTCATAGTTACATCTGAGTTTACAGAGTCGACTATTTTAAAAAATATCCAAAATTAAGGGGATATTATACAAATGTGTTGTTCATGGACTTGGTAAATTAAATTAATAACTCAGACGTCTACCGCCGACTTAACGCCGCCATACACGGACCGCACTTAGCAGTCGCTGAACGAGTTTGAAGCTGTCGATACCGAAGCGGCCCGTGTACAGCGGACACTTTGAGATTGTGCACCGATCACAGCCAAAATATATATATATATATAGAAACATTCCAAAAATATTTCGAGGGATTTTTTGTGCGTTGGAGAAAACTGGAAAGTATGAAATATTATAAAGGGGAACATTCATATTACATATTCTAATTACAAATCTAATTATGATAAATGCATTAAATCTCAAACATTTAGTACATAATAACATTCACAACACCGATAGACAAAACTACTCTATATAGAGTTAAATCCCACTGCTGAAACATGTTTACATACATGTGTTGCAACAGTGGAAACGACACTGACAACTAGAATATTTCAAGGTCAATCGCTCGCTTTCATTCGCCCCTTTCCAGTCCCTCAATACGCTTTATGCCTGGTTTACATTATGCCAGCACAGTAGGACAGTAGCACTGGTCTGGCATGAACTATTTTCAGTTAGTTTTATCACTCCAGCTGTATTCTTGTGCTGAATTTGAATACTAATGTCTTATTTGACTGGCATAATACAAACGAGGCGTTACACTAATATAAGTAAATGCTAGGTAGACTAGGAGATGACGCGGCGTTAACTAAAATACTACCCAAGCACCAAAAATTAATAATAAACTGACAGTTTTAAAAGATGAGATCAAAATATAGGATACTTTCGTAATTACAATAATGTATTAAACATTAATTAGTTGTTTTTTTTTTTGTGGAGATTCAATGAATATCTGTTATTTGAGATCGGTCGTCTAATACTACTGGATACTAACATTTTTAAGTTGAAAATCGACTAAAGTAACTTAAATTTAAGTTATTTTTTTATTTACAAAACTTGAGACGATTCCGATTGCTTTATTGTCATCTTTGATGACTTTTTAAACATTAGTATGGTTTGAAAAAAAAAACAGAAAATGATTTACTTTTAAGTACTTAAATTGGTGCGTTATAGACATCGTAAATAATTGCAAAGTTTATAATTTAACGTTTCTATAATATACTTGACCTTGGGTTTGGATCCATCCAAACTATCCATACAAAAACATAATGCTACCTAAGTTGGCAATATGTTTCTTAACGGTGTTTCGGAGGTGAAAACTTGTTCAAAATAAGTCGGGCGTCTCTGGTGGGTTAGTTTATTTTTTTGCATACATTTGCGACGTAAAACACTACCTTAATTAAAAAGAAATTGGCTTAAATTTTACAAAATGCGCCTTAATTAAGGAATGATAAGCTCGCCCTAAGTCTACGCGACGGAACATCGCGGCATCTACAAAAATACCTCAAAGACCCTGTCGACCCCAAAACAGCACGGGGATTGAAGATGTAAAACAATTATGTATGGAAAATGATGCTTTAACCTAACTCCATTGCCTTGACACTTTTGTAATGCGCGATTTAAATTATTCCAGTACAGCGACCTAAATCAGCGCTGGATTATAGCAGTAAATATCTAACTGTATAATATATAAACCACCCAGAGCATTCCAGTGCGGTAACTGAAATAACCACTTGCAGTCCAGTGTTGTTTTCAATCGCTGGACTGGAATAATGTAAACAGAGGAAAAGCATTGAAAGGCAATAGAAGAGATGGGGTTTTCTAAAAAAAAACGTACTGTGTTCATCTCAACTTGTCCTAGACATGAATTAGATATTTTTTTTATTATTTTCTTAAAAGTTTTGATATGTAAACAAAAACTTGAGCAAATAACTGTTATAGTAACTTTCACACTTGAAAGTTGCAATATTGGTTCAATGCATTAGGAAAGTTTTAGCAAAATAAAATGCGTTTTTTTTATAATTTTGGAAAACCTACGTAATTATTGAAGGACTGTACCTTTTACCTTGGTCCGCTTGCAATCACTTTCGACCCTTTTTTAAATACTACCCACATTTAATTAATATATTAAATGTCATATATATAGCCATGACACAATGATTTTACACAACAATCAAATCTTACATTATTCATGACAAAAGTTAACTGTTAAAAAAAATTGCAATTTACTTTTGTCATTTTTTGACATTTTTTTTTGACACTTTATATTTTTTTTATTTGTAAACATTCAGAGATATTGAAAATCTTAAAGGTAAATTTTATTTCCTAGTAATTTCAGAAAAAAAAAAATTAATGACTCGTAAAAAATATCAAATTAAGGAATATCAACTTTGTAAAGGTTTTGGTGCAAAAATTAACACTTGCTTTAAATATTGATAATTTTCCAGTTTGTTAATTTAAAAAAAAACCACAAAACTTTCAAACTAGTATGCTATATGCAAATTCAAGTCTTTAATGGTGTAGACGGAGAAAGCAGAACACTTCACCGTACAAATATAACTTCAAAAATTTTAACCTATATGTAAAAAAAAATCAGTTCTAAAATTTGAGCATACGTTTAATTGACTCTGTAAAGAATTTGCAAATAACATACAAGTTTGTATATACATATATAACCTATACATACAAAGTGTCATACAAGTTCGACATCTAATAGAAAATCAATACTAGAAGCATCATTTTACATTTTAAATTTGGGCAAATTTGCCTCAATAAAATGTCTCCAGCGGCCTTTTTTCGCCCCAATTTTATACTCCCGATTAGATAGCTATAGATTATATATGTATATTATTTATACCTAGTTATCGTATACCATATTCGATGAGCATCGTTGTTAACCATTTCTAGCCATGTTAACCACACACCTTACCGTTCTCATTGTTGACATACTTGTATAACAACATATATGAAAAGAGATACATCTTAAATGAGATTCCATGAGACATGTAACTATTTTCCTAGGAGAATAAAAGATATGTTTTTATACAAGTATTTTACCAATGAAAATCAATATTATGTATAAAGTTGAAACACATATGAATTACCGCACATTTTATCTTTTAAAATAGCTGCCAAAGATATAAGATACCGGATGTTTTATTGTTTATATGCGCTCTTAGTAAGCTATCAAGGTTGAGAATTCACGCAGTGACGTTAAGGAGGTGAACAGAACAGGAAACGCAGATATTGAAACAGCATAAGTAACTAAAAGAAAATAGTAGTAATAGTGGACTAAAGTAGCAAGTATCCTGAAATAAAATTTATGGACCAGTTCTAGAAAAAAAAGGAAAATATTGGAACGAAGAATGTAGAGATAAACAGTGCGGTAACATGACACATGATAATATCAAGAGCGGCAATGTCCTACATTGTTGTACGAGAGATTCAGAGAGATGTGTATGAAACATTGCCGTTTATTTGTATGTGAGTTAGTTAAACATATGTAAACATTGCCGTAGACCTTTGGATATCGTTTGGATGTTGCAACAATCGTTTGGATAACGTTTCGACATTGCCGTGGTCGAGTTGGTGGTGTCAATCTACTTGTGTTCGGCGTGGTGCTGGTGGTGTGGGGGCGGGGGGTGCTGGGGGTGAGCATGGGGGGCGTGCTGCGCGAGGTGGTGAGGCAGGGGCGCGGGGGGCGCGGCGGCGGCGGGGGGCAGCGCGGCGGGCGGCGGGTAGTGGGGCGCGGCGTAGTAGTGTTGCACGGGGGGTCCGTACTCCAAGCCGTCGTCGTAGCCCACGTAACCCATGCCGCCCATCATGCCCATCATCGCTGTGCAAACAATAATTTTTCTTAACTTTCTAATATATTCCGTAACAAATCAACTTTTATAAAACTAATGCTAATGTAACTAAACATTGGCTACATTATCTGTAAGAGTGGCAGAGATAATTCTGTCAAAAATTACTTAAGCATATAAAATAACATACAAAACTTTAACTTAAGTGTCACTTGTCCACCGAGCCAGACAAGTGTGTCAGAGTACAATGTAAGTGTAAATGTACCTGGGTCCTCCATGGGGTAGTACGGCATGGGGTAGAGCGGGGGCGGGTACTGGCAGTAGGGCACGCTCAGCAGCGGCGGCTCCAGCACGCACTCGCCCTCCGCGCCCCCCGCACCCACCGCGCCCACCGCGCCCACCGCACCGCCGTACAGCTGCGGCGCACCGCCCCGCTCGTTGTGAGAGTTGCGCCTACAACACCACAATTACTTAGAAATTACAGGAATTAAACTACCAATATCCTTATAGTTATTAAATTTGATTACATTGTGTTCTCGTGTAGCCTTCAAACGACTGAGTGGATTAAAACGAGTGTGATTTTATCATTCCAGTTCTTTTAAATCAATTCTTATGAAATAGAAAAATTTACCGATTGTTGGATCCCTTGTTGGGCATGTTATTGTTATGCCCCTTGTTCTGGTTGTGGTTGTTGTTCTGGTTGCCACCGTCCTGGTGGTTGCCACCGCGCTTGAACCTGGTTAAGGTTATCATTGTATTAGCACAAGTAATAACTAGCATATTAAGTCAATCCTTTAGTTTATCATTAAAATGAGTAAATGTTTATTTTCATGTTATACCTGGGTCCCAGCAGCGGCCGCTGTCCGTTGCCTTTCCCCTGGTTATTGAGTTGCGCCTTGTCGTTAGGCGGGCTCTTGTACTTGTGGTTGCCCTCGCCGGACTGGTTCATGCCTTGGCGATCGTGTAGCGACACTTGCTGCATATCCTGCAATATCACATTTAATATGAAGAAAATAAAAACATCTCTATGATAAAAATATCTACACATGGACAATACACAAGAATAATTCTACAAGAGGTTGTCAACATTATGGAAATTTGTATTTTTGGATTTATTTGTCTGTTTGTCATTATGTTTGTGCGAGTTAATCTCAGAAACGGTTCAACCGATTATGATGCGGTCGGTGGGATTCACTTAAAATTTAGTAGTGTTATTTAAGCAAATTTATTTGTGATTGTACATACTTGTGCTAGATCGCGGCTGGAGTACTGTCGCGGGGGCTGGGGCAGCTGCGGCGGGCAGCCGTACGCCGCCCACATGCACTCCACACCCAGGTTGAAGTAGTAACGCAGCGTCACCATGTCTGCAACAATTTACACAAGGTTATCCCTACCATCATAATATATAAAACCTTATAGACACAGAAAATGGCATAAAAGAAAAACTACATGACAGCTACTGCAAAAATGATCTTTTAACATATCTTGACATTGACATGGGGGGTTGCTAGCGAGCTGTCATAATTTACAAACAGCCTTTCGGTTAATACTTGCTGTCATGTCATTTTGTGCCACATGCCTGATACGTGACAACTTTTGAAGTTATAATTTTTGATACATTTCGAGAATCGTTAAACCTAGAAATAGTTTTGGGCAAGTAAAAGGTGGTCACAAAGCATATGAATATTGTTACCATATTCGGTACCATTCATTGGTAGATCAGATCCATTGGGCTGGAGGCTGCGGCCGACGTTCAGATTGACTCCTGGCGGCGGAGGAGGCGGCACGTGGCCCTGAGGCGAGTACCACATCAGCTGCTTGCAGTATGGCGCGCAGTACCCGCCCACGCCGGGCACGCCGCCCACACCAGGCACACCGGCCACGAACGGCATCCCCGGCATCGGTGGTAATGGTGGCCCGCCCATCGGGCACGGCACCGACCCACACTGGTTCATACCACCTATGGACATAACAAATAGCAATATAGCACCATTTAAAATACAACTATAGATCAACATTATTCGTACGTAAGCTTACATCCAATATAATTCCGTTTTCAAGTTTCTTTCGTTTATAAAGCTAACTTCTCTTTGCTTTATCAAACTTGTTATCCACTAACTTGAGTGTTGACTTGATTATCAGGATAAGGGGGAAGGACACTGGGCAGCGCACCGATGACCTTGGGTTGTCAAGATATTTGAAAAAGACTATATGTGTATAATAAGAGTTCTATGAGCTGCTAACCGGTGTAAGCGGGCAACGCGTTATGAGCCGGCGGCACAGGTGCAGGCGCGGGCGTAGACACACGCACAGCGGGCGAAGCTCCGGCCGGGCCCGCCATGTCGCCAGCACCGCTGCCTGCGCCCTGGTACACATGACAATATAAACTCCATAATTCACAATAACACAACTAATAATTTTAGGCAGTGAGTGACTTCCACACTAAAGGAATAGTCGAAATTACTTATGGGAAGAAAAGATGCATGCAGAGTCATGTTAGCTATGGGTCAGTGGGGACATGGTTGGTGATAGGCTTTATGCTACTAAGAGTCTAGTCTAAATTTTAAAATATTTTTTTATAGAGAATAATAAACAATCAACACTTCCAGAACATGGTCCCTTTAAAATAAGTAATAATATAACTTTTGTAGAAAATAAGGAAATAAAGTTTGTCTACTCACTTGATGATTATCATGAGGAGCTCCGTTGTGAGGCTGAGCGGCATGCATCTCGTGGGGCGGAGCGCCCGCCGCCGGCCGACAGTCCACCATCAGGGGCAATGCTTCCACTTCAACCTGGAGACATTACATATAATTACACATATGTACAATACACAACATTTACACATTCTAACAATTATAAAACGCACATGTTTATTATATTATCAAAAAAAAATAGGCACACGTAGCTTGTTGTTACTAATCTAAACATTTATTTATCTAAACATTCAGATTAAAAGGGGGTGTTTTTTTTTAATAAATTTTGCTAATTTACTAATATTTCTTGTACCATTCCAACTAAGCTCGGACAAACTATTGGCAAACAATATGAAATACATTTCTTGAAGAATTAGTACACACAACATTTGTTTTAATACCCTATCATTATATGAAAATATGAGACAGTTGAAAGTGAGATATAAATTATCTTACATACATATCCATTCACATCTCATTGAAATTCCTAGAAAATGTTGCATAAGCATATAAATAAAAAAAAAACTAACTACTTTCTAAAAGCTAATCTTTTTTTTTTTTTTTTTTTTATAACAGAAGGGGGCAAACGAGCAGCGGGAACACCGAAGTGTTCAACGACGCCCATGGACATCAACAATACCAGAGGAACCGCAGATGCGTTGCCGGCCTTTGAGGTGGTGATAGGCTCGCTTCTTGAAGGACCCTAAGTCGTATTGGTTAAACTAACTGATTAAACTACAAAATAACTATTTAGTGAAGTTCTCACATATGTATATAAGAACGTATTGTTTTCTCGTGTTTTTTTAAGGTAAATGAGAGAGATGACACTATTTTGTGTGCAGTGGACACCAACATAACACATAACCTACAACTACAATTGTTCAAAAATTGTATTAATATAATTTCGTTGTTTATGTAATATTACAATCTAGCTACGATATGGCTTTCTACTTATTTCTAAACATTACACTTGACTTAATTCATATAATTTCATAGAATAAATAAATTTTTATTAATAAAAAAAAGATCTTAATAATAAATTATTATTAATACTTAAAGTTAAAATTATGTTATAACAATGAGTAAAATGTCCCAATTTTTAAAATGTTCTATTATAAAAGACCGATGCCAAGAGTCAAGTGCCTTGTTTAGAAGATGCAACTAAAATATATTATAATAAAACTAACAGGCATAGGTTCAAAATTAAAGAAATCCATGTGGTGGTACGCTGAATAGTCAACGGTTTGGTTAATATACGGGGGTTGAGGTTCAATCTTTTCGTTATTCTTCATTGAATTTTTCTCCGTACTCTTCATATCATCTCCTTTCTTATTCCGTCCTTTAATCCCTTGTTTTCTAGTTATATTACCTATTACATACAACATAGTCTGTACTTTTAACCATTTCAAATGAAGAAATATATTAAACGAATAAATAAATCGCACCTATCTGCTGTAACATTTGGCTGAGAGACAAGAACTGCGAGCTAGCACGTGAGAAACGGTAAGGCGGTGCCCAGGGACGTATCTCCTCAATAGGTAAAGGTTCCAACTGATCATAGCCCACTACACGCTTCTCCCCCAACTCTTCAATGAATACAAGACAAGGCCCACCTTCCGGGCTCATCTCTTGTATATGACAGTGGTATGGAACAGACTGATCTGTTTGCAGCTTGCAAAGACATTTTACACCTACTTGTAAAGTTGTACCGTCAGAATATCTAGCTCCATAACGAAACTCTGCAAAATGTTTAGACCTTATAGTATACAACGTAGAAATTAAAATCAGTATTAAGTGAAATAGGATTTTTGTTAAACTATGCGCCATTCAAAACCGTTACAATATAGTTGTACACAAAATAAACATTGCTCTTTGTAAATTCAATAAATTACCTCTCCTTAGTTCACTCCAGACATCGAATTCAATATTACGATAAATGTCAGGATCTAAGGCCTTTGCTACTTTATATGGGAACGGTGTGATCCCATTATCAAGCAAGTCTTTAGCGCTATTCACATTCAAACAATTTATGCAAACATTTTCAAGCTGTATAAGACTACGGTTGAACACAAAAATACTCAGGGACTCTTTCAAAAGGCTGCCTCTTTCGAGATCCTCAGTGTGATGCTTGCATTTCAAAGCCACTGCATTATTATTTTTGTCTTTATCATCATCGCTAATTGTCTCTATGAAAATTTTAGCTCTATCCTTTTGTTTCTTTCTACGTTCTACATTTTCAGACATAAAGTATTCAATATGATTTGATGGAATTTTGTCATGAAGCATTTTATCAACAGCATAAGGAAGGTCTTTAATTTTGTAAACACCATCATAAAGAATCTCATAAACCAGTGCTATAATAGATAAAAACAAAGATGTAAATAAATTATACAAAACGGAAATGTAATCATAATTAATTAAATAAACTGGAGATTAGGAATGTAATTTTTAAATTATAAATGTAAAAATTGTCACTTACATTGACAAAATGATGATGTGTTAATAAATTCTTTGGTATACACAGCATCAAAGTGCTTTGTATCGGGAGAATAAAATAAGTAAATTGTATTGCCATAACCATTGCAAATTTTTGTTTGAGGGCCTTTGTTGGCTTCAAATATAACAAAATCACGTCTGAAAAGATTTATTTACAGACAAATTAAGCATTTGACCCTCAGTATAATTTAATTGATGTTAAAACAACATTCTTACCTATACAGGTGGCTCATAGCAGATATTTCAATAAGACCACCCCATTCAGACGGATTTGACATCTCTTTGAGATAATTCTCAAATGAACAATTCAAGGACTAAGAAAGAAAATGACAATTTAAATTTGACAAACTAAAAATTAATGAAATAATTTAAAATCGATTGAAATAAACAGTGCATTAAAACCTACCCCTTCAAAGAGGTGTCTTTTAGCAGACATGAACTGAACACAGTCAATGCGCACTTTGTGGAAATAACGCTGAGTGTTATAAATATTTTCAGATACAGTTCTGAATAGACAGCTGGAATCCCTAGCAGTATGTTTTCGAAAAAAACCCATTTCGTCTAGCCATCTATCGGGTTCAGAAGAGCGCTTATTAACTTTCCAAGGCACTCTGTATCGTACTGGGGATGGCGGCATTTTAACAAGCTGCTAGCGATCTGTAGATAAACAATAACAATTGCCGCCTATCAAAAGAACATATAAATAAAACTTTCGCGAGCGCCAGTTATACACATAATTTTTTTTAATAAAAATCGATTATTTAACAGGGACCATATCGTAACTACATTGTCTTGCAAATGCAAATGGATGTTTTGTTGTTCAGTGTACATTATACAACACGTGCAGAGATATCGCAAAATAGATGTTGATTACTAAATAACAATTCACTTACCAAAATAATATTTTCCAACAGTCAGCATCAGTGACAAACCAACTAAAAGGTGAGAAGCGCTGTTTTATTTATTGTAAAGAAAAAATTGCACGTGCCAAAACCAAACCGTCAACAGCCGGCGGGAAGCGGGAAGGAAAATCAAAGTTCCATCAAAATAGCATTTTTGCGTAATTGCTGCCACAGATAAAATAAGATATTAAGCTCTGGGAGTGTTTAAGATGTTTTATTGATTTTAAACAAAAGTTGATAAAAATGATTTTATGATTTTTGTATTTCAGTAGTACTTTACAATAATTATGTAGGGTTTAATAAACAGGTAGATTTAGATGTACTTTGTTAAACAACTTGATCGAGTTGGAAATTCTTCGCAGTGTTGCGTGCCTGATCAATTGGTGGTCGATACGGTACGATAGTTTTTGTTAAACACAAATAAAAAATATCAATCTGTTTACTTTATTTTAAATAGCTAAATACACCACTCAATTATATTAAACATTTTTAGCGAAACACAATACTGTAAATAAAGTAATAATCGATATGATCTCACATCGATTACTTGAGTGTGCTAATTCGAGATTTTAATCTGTGAAATCTGTAAACCTTTCACAAAAAAAAAATAGCCAAGGTCAATTCTCTTCCCAAATCAATATCATAAATTCGCCCCTGGTAATATAACTTTTTTAGAATGATTTACCCGATTGAGACTACGCCGCAGCCACCGAAAAGCCAGGTGATCTTTCGTTTCATCAGTTGTGCCGAGGGCCAAAGTTGCCTCTCACCGTGTCCATAAGTGCGGAGGGCTTGGTAGGGAAAGGATTTGACTAGGGGACGTCTAGGAAAGGGCAAAAGAGTCGGAATACATTACTTAAGGTGGTGCCAATTTAGAAATCAATAAACGTCAATATCCAAAAAGGAGGAGTATTTTGTTGAGTTTTTTGCTAAGAAAAACAGCACAAAATGAGCAATTTTATCTTATTTTGATAGCCCTCTTGCCTCTGATCATTTAAGATTGTTTATTTTCGAATTGGTTCATCTTAACTTCTGATTAAGATAAAGTCTAAAAAATTTAGTCTTTTAGCTAAGTATATGACTTGCTTAGTGAGTCCTTAAAATATAAAGAACGTAAATGAAACACAATGTATTTTTTCTTTTTTATTTATAAAAAAGCACCGTCTGTAAAACGTACAAATGTCGATAAAATGTTTTTATTGGCATCTTCAGCTTGTTAATAGTGAAAGATTATTGTGGAATTACACAATGCAGTAAAAATCAGTATAAAATTATTGTTTATATCTCAAGAGAACACTATTGCTTCGACTATTGTTACATAACACAGACTCTTAGCATTCCGGTACATAATTGAGCATTTATATTGCGTTAAAATATTACCGTTATCGAACGAATAAGATCATTTAATTAAAACAAAGATTTTTTTTATTTCTTTAAATATTTTCGCAACTACACTCCCGTATTTTTTTAATCTGACATAATTCAAATTCGATGCACGATTCTCTCAGTCGTCTAATTAATCTCAACTAAAACATGGAGAACACAAGCACACGAAAGCAAAATATTATTTCATTTATCATGGAGTGCAGTGTCTCCAACCTAAAATAAAATCAGTACAGAATCTTAATTAATATCTTCAAATATAAATTAAATAAAATGCTCATAAAATACACTTATTACATATTATATCATGTTAAAAGTGACATAGAAAATTTGGTTCTTAAATACTAATGATAAATGACCAGTTTACGAAGCCCGTTTCCATTTGTCCACGGACAGGAGATGTGTAAACACGGAAGCCCGGGCGACGAACAGTAAAACGAGACAGCTATAACATCGTCTCTTACAAAAAAGTTCATAAAACTACTTCACCATAGACAAAAATAGTTGTACTATTATTTTATCAGCCTTGTCCTTGTTCTCGTGTTGTCTTAAATTTTAATCTATGGAAACGGTTGTATTTAAAAAGTGAATGTGACAGTTGCGTTCGGAAATTGAATTTCTAAATTTTTTAAAATTAACGGACGACGCAAACGGGCCTGTTACTTATAAGAAACTTATACAGATACTAAAATACGGCGATACTAGCGATATATGAGTGCGGTTAATTAATTTGTAGGCGTTCAGGCCGTCTTCTCCTGCTCGATGATGTCCTTTGTGGGCAGGGGGTTCTTTTCGCACGTCTCTGTGTGCTTCAGCTTGGCCGGGTCGAAGTTTTCGATGCCGTTCAGGAACTTGTTCTTTTCCTTCTCCGCTTCAATAGCTGTTTGAAGAAATTATTGCAAGATTAATTAAATGAAATCTTTGTTTGACTATAGATTACTATCACGATACCTCGATTACAAATATTATGACGGTTACCAATCTTTAAATGATATAGTGCGTCAAGTCCAGTACATACTTTTATCAGTATATGTGGTATATTAAATCAATTTTTTATAAACCCAACTGGACATAGCCAACTGGTAAAGATAAATAATATAATGTTTACACGGGTTGTCTATGGGCGGCGGTCCTTTTTCTATTCCTGCGAATTCACGTGGCCGCTTGCTTGTTTGCCACCTAGTCATATTTAATTATAAATTTACATATTCAATAAACATAAACAAACATTTTTATGCAGCATCACTTCATCAGCATAGATAATAAAAGCTACGCATAATGCATAGATTATAGTAAGGCAGAAACAAAAGCGGGTAAAAACCTTCTTTGGGCGGCAATGGGTTCTTTTCTTCCGTTGTTGTGTGCTTCATCTGGGTCTTGTCGAAATGTTCAACACCGTCGAGGAGGTTCTGATGAGCTTTCTCAGCGGCAACAACTGGCATAAGCAAAACCGTGCAGCAAAATAATGTAAATCATAAGCTAGGCACATCATGCGCGATGAAAGGGCAAGGGGAATTTGTAACTATCCGTTAAGCAAATCCTAACATTTATCAATTTAACGATATATTTTGTAATGATTGCAATATTTTGGTATTAAATAAAAGCGTGAAGTATCCATTATTATAAGATTTTGCCTTAGGTTTGATTGTAAAGGTAAATTCAAATTTGAATTTGGAAATCGTTGCTAACGGTTACATCAATATATTTTTATTTCGTTTTTAAATTATTAATGAATTTTCTTGATGTTTTATTTTATGTTGGTATTCCCTCACCCTTGCAACATTCACACATAAATGCAAGTTTTATTAAAAGAATTGTTTTTCTTTTTTAAAGCAAATATACAATAAAAAATGCATGCCGTTAACGTAAACAATTTAAAAAAAAAAACATTTATGTTGCAATCAAAGCAAATATTTGCATTACATTTTAAAATATAGTGTGAATTTGGAGAAAGTGCAAATAATGCTGTGTCATGGTTTTTATAGAAATGCATCGTGCTAATAAATTCGCATCACATACCATCTTTATCAGGAAGCGGATTCTTTTCCTGCGTTTCTGTGTGCTTCAGTCTGCTTGCATCGAACTTTTCGATACCGTCAAATAATGACTTTTGAGTTTTTTCGGCGGCAACATCTGGAAACCATGGACAATATTTAGGTTTTTTTAAATAGCCCAAACCAATACTCCGTAGCAAACTTAAGTAAAGATATGTTAACACACTATTTTAAAGAATTAAAAGTGAACTATAAAACCGACGACAAAAAACAAACACATTTTATCATGCATATTTAGAGTAGGAATTTTTGATGAACATAATTACTAACTTTTGTTTTTTCAGCAATGTTTTTGAATGGATGATTTGTTAGCTAAAATTTATGTAAATTGTATGAACAATATTGAGTTTTTCTTTGTTAGAATGAGCGAAAGCGTAGAGTCGATGTGATCTGTAAATATAGCTGTTATTCTGTCCGCGCACACAAAATACCTAGCGCGTTCGGTAGTACTACTTTTTCAACTGTATCTGTCTTCCTCAATACTGAAGGTTGGAATTTCTCTAAATCTTGAAGGAGCGCTGTGTGCTGTTTCTCTTGAGCTATGTCTGGTGTAAAAAATATGCTAGACTTGATTATAACGACCTAATGATTCATTTTCTACTCTTCAATAAGTCAGAATGTATATTGAAGTAAAGTGCTAAAAAATAATAGTTTTTTTTTTTAATTTTTGTGAATAAATAAGTGACTATTTCCACGTATTAGCTATACACACGTTTCTGGCCGCATATGGATCTTATTTGTAAAGCAGCCGCGATCTTTCCATTGGAAATAGAACACGCGACACGTTGTCAATTCGCCATTTTGTAGTGGTAGCCATTTTGGATTTTTATTAAATGGTATATAATGATATTTAAAATGGGTACCTTCGGCAGATGGCAGAACAATCTTCTCATTGGTGTCTACATCACGGAGGCAGCCGGTGTTGAAGCTCTCCAGCTGGCTCTTGAGGTCATTGGCGACCTTCGGGAGGTCCTTCAGGGCGGGCGTGTCACTGACGGAGCAGGCCATTTTTTGGTTTTCTATTGATAAAAGTATAAAGTGAATTAAGAAATAGCTATATACATTGCTTAGCGTTATTTTACTTAAAATATGTAATCGTTTTAGTAATTCGGCGAACTAAATTGTACATTTGTTTCGACAGAAACTTCCAGAAAGAAGCAATTGCAATATATCAACACGTATTTTATCTATAGACATGTCTTTCACTCGTTATCTAACGACTTTGTCCATCGACTTTCATTACAAAGAAATGTTGACTCAAACTGTCACTGATTGCCGATGACACATTGCATGGCTACCACTGGAGCGTAAACACGCCACTTTATGTCGATATGTACACGTACTTATCTCACGAACAAAGACATCTTTCAACATATGCTACTAGTTTGTGCCTCCCACTTTGTCTGCGTGGAATTAAAATAAAACTAAGTTTGTAACCTATGCGCTATTCTAGATGCGTTTAGCCGTTTTGGAGTAACTTATTAAAAAAAAATATAATCCATTTTTTTCTATTGACTCTAAATGAAGTCATGTATTTTATATATGTATTTGTAGCAATGGGGACTATTTTTATAACATCGAAGCGTAGTTAAACCAAATGCGACATTTTATCACAAAAACGCCCCACAAAGCACCCCCTTACAATCTATTTGGGGGAGGATATAGGGGTACAAAGTACTGAGTAATACAAATATTTATAAATATCGTATAACGCACGTTTTAGTAACATAACTCTAGCATTTCTAGTTGTTATGAGTACTTTATCAAATGTTTTGATACTTGCAACCTTTTCGAGGGTCTTATAGTTTAATGAACGTTTCTTGAACTCAAGTATCAAGGAGACACAATATTAGTGTATTATCTATTGTCAGGGATAACTTTTTTCGATAGATGGCGTCCCATCTACCTGCGCAAGCGCAAACACGTATAGAATATAAAATTAAGTGATTCATTGTGTCTGTATCGCCGGGGACTGTATACTAAATCAATAGACATCCGGCGTACGTAAGGAAACAATCTTTTGTGTTCCAGAGGATGTTAATGTATTTGTGAGCAGAATTGTAGCGAATGTTAACATAATATGCTTGTTATTACCTATTGTAAATAAAGTTCAAATGCTATTGTTAGCTCTATTAAGACTTTATTTACTCCGTTTCTAATTATAAGCTTAATCAAGTACGCTGGTTTGTGGAACTCGTAAAGAGTGAGAATATAAGAAAGGAGTTTTATCTGTGTCTCTGAATATTCCAAAATTTAATATCGAAGTATGATTTATAAAAAACACAAACAACATATCATTATTAAGCCAAAATTAAACCCAAGTGAAAAGCTTGCCTGTAAACAATATAATTCAATTAAACGAATAAACACGTTAAAAACATATCTTACTAAGATTATAAATATGAAAATTCAGATGGATAGATGTATGTTAGACTGTATCATCGACTCAAACTACCTTCATGAAATTTGGCAACGATGTAGAACATAGTCTGGAAGAATACATAGGCCACTTATTAAGTTTTTTAACTCTCTAGTTTAATATAACAAGAAATGCCGAGTTCTCTATCTCAATCGATATTCGATACTAAAAATAGAATCCTATTCGTTGAAACAGCGCCTGGAATCCGTCACGTAGTTGTGAATAAGAAAGCCCCTTCCGTTGCGATAAATACAACGAGCGACGTCAATAAATCAAGTCATTCCAACAACTTCAAGTGTCGTTTTAATTAACACAAGGGATGTACATAGAAGAGGAGACCAGAGACAACTGACGTATTGATAAACGAGATGAACTTTGCACATCACTTTCATATCCCATGGGAATCGATAATATTTTCGAGATTAAATAGTCTATGAGTTACACAGTATGTTTGTTATCTGTGTCAAAATGTATTGAAATTCCTTAAATCGATTTCTGGAGTTGCGTAGTAACAACGATTCATTCATTTTATGTGAATGTCACATCAAATGTATCTGACGGACATAACACTATTGCACTTTTTTAGTTATTCTGTGTATTGTGAAATCAATATAATACTATAAAATAAGGGTAGCTATTGCCATATAATTATTAAAGAAAAAGTGTTGCCAGAAATATTTTAGAATTTACTAGTTTTAGCGAAAAATTAGCAGTTTGTCTTTTGTGACAATAAATCAAGTTTGGAAGAAAATTAATATAGTAGATGAAATGTTTTTAAGCTAATGTTTCGGTGGAGTAATAAGTAATATAAAATTTTAAAATAAATAGCTGGATATAAATTAAAAAAAATTAGCGGTTAGTAGTCTCACAGTCTCACTTTACGTGGTACCGCAACGTTTTGGTCTGTTGAACAACTCGGTACATCCGTAATTAACTTTGAATCTTAATTAAATTAAACATTAATGATATAGCCATACTGGGATAGATAGACAATGAAATCTTTATTATTGGGTACAAGATAAAAATAAGACTAACCTAAAAACGCCAATACTATTTTAATATAGATTAAAAAAAATGTGCAAATATTATAAAAGAAATTTTCTATTAGGTACTTAGGTAGGTTTTTCTTCCAAATAACATAACATAAAAATATGTCGCTTTTTTAATGTTACATAGTAATAAAACTGTTGAAGTTAATTAGCTATTATCCTGTTCGTATTAAGTAAACCAAGCGACATGTTTTGTGTCTGTTGTACTAAGCATCGGAAATGAGTAATCGCCGCGTTGAAAATTAATTGCTATACTCATACATACACACATCATCAGCTCACTATACGTCCCCACCGAGGGGCTCGGAGTCTACCCTAAGTTAAGGATAATTAGGCCATAGTCAACCACGCTGGCCAAGTGCGGGTTGGTTTACTTCACACATATCTTTTAATTTCTTCTCAGATATGTGCTGGTTGCATCACGATGTTTTCCTTCACCGTAAGAACGTCGGATAAATGTACATTAGTACATGGCGGGATTCGAACCCAGGACCTGCAGATTGCAAGTCAAGTGCTTGAACCCTGAGCCACCGACGGTCACGGTAATTTAATTGTCACTAAGGGATAAGGGAGTATTAAGTCTAATTTTATTTACTTAGGTCTATGATTTGACATTGTCTCAATTCTAACATGTTCAAAATGCTAAATAACAATTGTTAATTTACAATTAGTTAAGAAATATGAATTGTTTCGTATTGTTATACGGCTGAGACTTGTGAGCTCGTCTGTACAAATAACAATCTAAATATCACAGCGCTCACGTCATCACTAAAACAATGATATGAAGTCAATTCGCAAGTGAAATAATTTCATATTAATTCCATCTTGATTCGAGGCATTTTGACGAGTTCTAGAAAAGACTTCGTGACACAATGGTCATTATCGGTCGCCTGCCTGTCGTCTGAGTCACCTTGCCTGTTTTGTAAACAATTTTGTACGTGCGTCACATTCATCGCCCTTTTTAATAATTTAAATAAATAATTATTCGTAGAAAATTGTTAATAAAAACAACGTCAGCATTTTCCTCATATCGGTCTGGACTAAGCTAATGGTCAAAATCGAGCAACTTTTCCCTAAAACAAATTATTCTAATCCCTTAACCAGGTTTCCTAAATATAAAACAATTTGCATAACCAGAACCAAAAGTAACGTCTTAGAAACATATTTTTATTCTATAATTTATTATGACACAGTTTAACGGTTCACGTCATGTAATAGCGCCTTTCCAAAACCTTATTTGGCGAACAAGTACAGCAAGCATTAAAACGTAGTGTTACAAAAAATATCCAAACAAGCGTACGCCGCGCCGCCATGCCTGCGCGCCATATGGTCGCTAACCAAAATGTCCGCCGGCAATGTCTGGACTGTTATTCACATAATACAGTACGGTACTATTCACGTTTTTATATTGCTAGGCAACAATAAGAGTAAGTCTATAGTTATTTAAATTAAACGTAAACTAATATGATATCATTTTCCTGCATTAAAAGAAGATAAGATTTGTATAAAATCAAATTGAATAAAAAATTCGTTACATCAATGAGGAAATCAAAAAGAATGACTAAGTTACCGTAATAAAATCGATGATAAAGAATAAGCATTTATTTATCAATGCAAAATTACATTGTTTACGATTTTAGTAATAACAAACAATCACTTATCGTTGGCACAATTTATTTTTATCATACTGATAATGGTGCGTTTAACCGATAACGTAGCGTTAGCATTTATATTTATAAAATATTAAAGCACACAATATTAAAGCGTTGTTCGAAACACTGAATGAAAAATTTGATTCTTCATTGCGGATAACATGTGATATCAGATGGCGAAAAAAGCTTTCGGATCGATATGGCGCTCGGAGTCGCAGTGAAGAGAGGGGACACTCGCGTACACTAACCCGAATGACTCACATCGCGTCGCTTGCCACCGTAGAAAGTTTTAAAGTTATTAAAATTTCACCGTAAGTTGATCATCGGTCTTGCCAAGTCCCGTTTTTGCTAACGCATTACATCTGCGTAGTTTTTAATCCGTTTGACTGCAAACTTTCTATTGTGTTTACAACAACTTTACAAATGCACTTATATTTTTAAAATACAAGGAAAATTTTTGTAAGTATTAATTATATTCGTTGCAGTTGTTTGTTTTTGAACGGATTTAGCCTCCCATTTGTTTGATTTACGAGGTTATTACTTGACAATTTGATACCGCCAGCGCCCCCGCTCTGCGCAGCCGGCCAATTTGCACCTAGTTCATTGCCAATGTCACGTTCAGGAATCACGGTCAACCGTTTCGTACCGTTAATATTTACATGAACGTTCCAAAAATACAACTGTTTACATCAAATAAGTTAGAATTCCATCTTTATTTTCCTATATTGTTCTATCGTTTTATAACCCTATAATATTTTTTAAATAACCATTATGATAACTAGATAGAGATATAGATTAAAAATGACAAATTACGGTAAATAAATTCTGTCGCACTGTATGTTATATAGTCTGTGTCGAGCTATGCAGGCGACGTGACCTTGTGTCTATAAATAGCTACA